GTTGGGTGTTTTACTATCCCAACCCTTGTAGGAGTGAGGTGTGTTGTTGGGTGTTTTACTATCCCAACCCTTGTAGGAGTCTGGTGTGTTGTTGGGTGTTTTACTATCCCAACCCTTGTAGGAGTCTGGTGTGTTGTTGGGTGTTTTACTATCCCAACCCATGTAGGAGTATGTGTGTTGTTGAGTGTTTTACTATCCCAACCCTTGTAGGAGTGAGGTGTGTTGTTGGGTGTTTTACTGTCCCAACCCTTGTAGGAGTCTGGTGTGTTGTTGAGTGTTTTACTATCCCAACCAATGTAGGAGTATGGTGTGTTGTTGGGTGTTTTACTATCCCAACCCTTGTAGGAGTCTGGTGTGTTGTTGGGTGTTTTACTATCCCAACCCGTGTAGGAGTCTGGTGTGTTGTTGGGTGTTTTACTAAGTTCAATCTTAAAATAAAATGTACATGCGTAACCATATTCTGACAGATGCATACAAGTAACTTCAGACATACTGGGTGCTTTGTTTGGTACCGAAAGAGTTAACACATTTAGTTCACTTGTTAAAAACATATTTTAGTCATTAAAACATTCATCTCTCTTGTTAAAATGTTGTTCACTTGTTGATAGAGTAAGTTAACTTGACAAAATTTTGAGTTCATTCTTTAAAAGATTAAGTTCACTTTTTAAAAGATTTAGCTTACTCCTTTACTTAATTTATCAAAAGATTTAATTCCCACATTAAAAGATTTAAATCTTTGGTACCAGAGGGCAGTTATATTCATTATAAATCAACACAACCTGGCTCTTTAGCGTAGTTGGCTAAACCGGACTGCGCGGTGACCGGGTGATGAACTCCTTGTGGTCCGGGTTCACTCCCGGAGGTAGGCAGAAAAGCCACATTTTCTCCCAGATTTAGGGTACCTATCATGGAATCAAGGCCGAAGGGTTGCGATATCCATAGTACCGAGCCAAAAGGTTAACAACTCATGATTTCTGGATATTTAACAAACAACAACATAAAGCAGCACAATATGTGTTCCTTGGTCCCCAAAGAGCTAATCAACTCAATAAAAGATTTAGGTAATTTATCAAAAGATGTAATTCATTCGTTACAAGATTTATTCCACAACAATAAATGAACACAATATTGTTCACTCATTTCAAAGCTCTTTTTATATGATAAACATTGAAAGTTTCCCAGTTTTCTTTCAGAGTTTGTGTCTAACTTCTATTTAGTCAGCTTTTATGACATGCTTGTCAGGGGGGCAGCTGGTCTATTCCCCCCCCCCCCCACCTTCCTTTACAAAACTGGGCCTCCCACCCCACACAGGGCCTCACAACCCACACAGGGCCTCCCAACCCACACAGGGAAAGTAACTTTCAATGCTGGTGACTGACCTGGAAGCTCTCGGTCATTCCATCGAACATAGACATCGAACAAACCAACTTCCACTGGTATGTAGGTCACCTTGTATTGTCCATCCTTTAATGGATCAATGCTGCACTTGGCAATTGCGTTTGGCCCTGAAAGAAAACCAAAAGACAAGGGCTACGTAAAAAATGTATCCACATATATCCAACAATATTAAAGTTTCCTCTTTTCCATGTTTACCGGCTGCAAAATCTTGTGGAAAAGTTCTGGTTGTTTGTCCACTTCCGGACTTTGGTCTTAAGAGTTCCAGAACTTGAGTTTCACGTGCACATCATTTTATAGATCTGGCTTATTTGCAAACAAATTTTTAGTTCCTTGCTTCTCAGGCAGATGTCCTTTTAAGGATACTCCCCTAATTAGTCAACCATTAGGACATGCTTGTTTGGGAGCATGCTTGTTTGGGAGCAGCCAGTCTATTCTCTTGCTTCCCTTTAACGGGGCCCTGGAACCCACATGGAGAAATATTAATATTTTATATCAATCACTATGAGCTTCAGAAGTGGGGGGAAAGAAACAGTTCAAGTAAAGATGGAAAGAGGGAAGGGTGGAAAAAGGGAAAGATGGAAGGAAAAAAGAAAGGATGGATGAATGGAAGGAAGTAGGGGATGAATTAATGGGATTAAGACAGAAAAATAAATGACATAAAGAAAGATAAAAAGGATGAATGGATACATTGACGGGAGAAAGGATGCATGAATGGAAGGATGAAGAGAGAAAAGATGGATGAGAGGATGAGATGAAATAAGAGAGGATCAGTTAATGGACTGAATAAAAGACAAATGGATGGATAAATAGAATAGATAAAAAAAGAAGGACAGGATGAATGGATGGGACGAAAGAAGAAAGGGTGGATGAATAGATTAGATGAAGAAAGAAAGAATAAATTAATGGATGGAATGAAGGAAACAAGGGTGGATGAATGGAGGAGATGAATGAAGAAAGGATGGATTAATCGATAGGAGAAGGAAAAGATGATGAATGAATAGATGGAATGAAGGGAGAAAAGATGGTTGGAGGGATGGAATGAAGGTAGAATGGATAAATGAATGTCTGGGATGAAGGAACAGAGTATGAGATGAATGCAAAGAGAATGAATGGATGAGATGAATAAAGAAAGAATGAATGGTTGGGATGAATAAGAAGGGAGGGATGAATGGAAAGAGGGGTGCAAGAAGAAAGGATGGATAAATGGGTACTACAAAGAAATAAAAGACTGATGAAAGATATATCAGATGAACAAAGGAAGGATGAAAGGACAAATGAAGGTTAGATGAAAGGGGAAAAAAATGTAAGAAAGGACAAAAGACAGCATGAGGAATAACTTCATCTAGCAGGTCCTTTACAGAACTTTGTTCTCATCAGGGCCTGCCTGAAAAAAAAAATTGGTCTATCTTCTGCCCCTCTTTGTGCTAGTTGGCCCCTGCCCCTCTCTCCCAGGATCACGCCTTGTGGTATAATTTGTTTCTAATTCGCCGCGGCTCCTAATGTGGCCAAAATATTTTAGTATCTGAGACAAGATGCTGTATGCTAGCCAATTTTCCTTTATGTTCAGATATTTTAGGATAAATAAAAGATAGAAGGAAGGAATACTGTTAAGGACAAAGTAGGGATTGAAAGGAATTAAGGAATGGGAGGTTGAATAGGACAAACAAAAAATGAATGTATGGATGTTATGAAGAAGTAAGGATAGATGGGATAAAGTGAGGAATGACAGGTTCAATGAAGCAAGGAGCAGCAGATGGTAGTATTTTCATCTTCCTGGCATTCAGTTTTAATGCTCAGTTGGACCGTCAGGTGGGCGGCCTCTATGAACTGGCATGTCAGTTGTGGGTCCTTCATGGTTCCCCACAGCTTGCTCTGCACACTTTGCTCTGAAGGCCAGGTTCTTTTGGCAGTTGTAGGTGAAATGGGCAGGCCTGCAGAATATGCTCAGGTGTGGTCCCTACTGTTTGGTCTCTATTTTTTTTTTTTGCTTGTGATAGCTGAGCCTGCAGTATCCTGTTCCTGGACAGAAAAATCTTAAAATCGTATGGATATTATAAAGAAGACAAGAAAAGAGGATGATATAATGAAGAATGGAAGGATGAAATGGAAAGAAATGAAAGATTGATGGATAGAAGAACTTACCATCAACTTGAACAGAAGGTGTGCCTTTCAAGTTCCTGGCATCGATATAGAAATGAGCAGGCTTATCCTCCTCGCCTTTGTGCAAGCCCTCACCATGAACTGTGGGAAGGGCGCCTTCACCAATTTCCTGGAGGAAGGGACTACCTGAAACATGAGACATGCATTTGAATATATTACTGCTCTGACTACACTCAGAGGAAAGGCAAGACGGACATTTAACCAGATTGTGACCGGTACCATTAGTATTGGAACTCTGCGCTGGCTGCTGAAGATGAGGACGGAGCATGCATGGGAATGCCCTGAGTGCTGTGATGTCAATTCTTGACTCAACTCACCTCAACTCATAATACTGCTCTGATTAACATTTTGGTCAAAACACTTATGAAACAATATAAATTACATTTAGGTCACGTAAACATTTTCATGATATATAAATTTAAAATAACAAATACAATGGGAAGCCAGTAAGTAAGTCACAAATGGTTATGGGTAGGCAGGAAAAAGGAGTGGGTGGTTTCTATAGGTGTCATTAAGTGATAGCAACAACGAACTTCATGTCATTAGGTGGGGCTAAGAGTTGCAAGCGCATTTGCAACATAAAAACAAAATGGCAACTGCACTTTCAGAGTGTAGCCTCAAAAAACAGCATACTTTTGTGTGTTTTGTTTGGGGTGGGGGAGGTGGGGGGGGGGGGGGGGGTGGAGGACAAAAGGGCTGCCTGCAGAGGATTTTCATAAGGAAATGCTTCCTGTTTAAACTGACAAACTGACATATGCTTATCCCGTGAAGCAGTGCATAGCTGGGTAGCAATTTTCCTCAAGGATACTCTAAAACTGTTGATGAAGTCTGATCTGGTCGTCCTGTTGAGATTGCAACAGACACATGTAGATGACAGACGAGTAATGGTTGACTCTGTAGCAGCTGCATAATCAATTGACATTTTTGGTCAACTGAAAACCAACCTTGGCAGAAGACATTTTGTGAATTACACAGAAGTTGAATGTGAAGTAAAAAATGTGGTTCAGAAAACAGAACATGAGAACAGCAGCATGCTATAAGTCAATAGACTGACCAAGAAAGACATGGGTGGAGGGAGGAGAAGAGAAACACAATATGACATTAACACAAGCTAGGAAACTAGCAAAACAGAAAACTACATCTGACTCCTCTCTGTTGTGCATAATAGTGGTAGGACAAAAGAAAAAGAAGAATAATACAAATATATTAGGGTACCTCTTCGGTAACAAAGTAACATGCAGTCCAATGTGGGATGGACAGTTTGAATTTACTTAGAATCAGTCTATCGATTAATCGATCAGTTTGTTCCCTCTCTGGGCGGCTACCTCAAGGTTTACTATACCATCCTAAGATTACAAGAATCACAGTATGGACGGCAGACCAACAGTGCAAATCCCAGATACCCCGTTCAACCTCAAAAAGAGTTATACTTTGGGAACCTGTAACGACTATGACAGCCAGTTGTGGGTAAGGGCCAGCAATTGTTCAGGCATTTTGTTCTTAAATACAAGCTAGATATTGTGAGGGCCCTTTGGGAACGAGTTAACAGTGTGAAAGCGAAGACAGATCATTACGGTATGAGGAGAATGGCGCTGTGGGAATCTGCCCGATGCTTGAGCTCAGGGGAAGGATGAGATGAATATACAATCAGACAGTTACAGGTGCCATTGGAAATGGAACTCTTCGCTTGCTGCTGAAGATGGGGATGGAGCACTTATGGGAGTGTCCTGAGTGCTGTGATGTTGATTCTTAACTCAACATTCAACATTCTGTTCTTAAATCAAGCATGTCACTTTTCAAATTTTTTTTTTAAATAAAAGACTTTTTCACGTCCTGAGGCATATTTGGTATACATCTGTAGACTTATAGACCAATGAGCACTTGGTGGGTGATGTGGTCTACATAATGCCGCCGGCCTGTCTACTAACAGAACTTTTCTTGGGATTCTTGGTTCACATTAAAGGCTGGCTCGACCTGGGAGCTAAGATAATTTCTTTTTAAAACTCCAACTGCGTTCAGATTTGAACCCACAACTTCACAATAAAACAGAACTTGCCCTGCCACCCCCCCCCCCCCCCCACCATCTCAAAAATAGGATTGCACAGTTAAATAGAAGTAGGTAGGTGTTTTGCTGGGGGAAAAATCATCACGTTCCCTGAATGGGGAGATTAGGTTATAATTGTGACTAGGTTATGTGCACTTAATAAAATGGTTTAGAACTGCACGTCACCAAAAGCCCTGAAAAGGACAGCTGCTGTGTTGATGCGATCAAAGGAGACAGACCTAAATACTGTCCCGACCTGCGACGAAGTCGTCTACCGGCGTGCCAATGGGTCACCAGGTCTCCAATGTGACATTTACACAGGTTACCTTTACATTCATATGTAGGTATCATTATGTCGCTCACGTTGCGTTATTTGTCAACGAGCTATAAATATCCCCTGCACCCCTTCTTTTGTTTGCTCGGGTGTCTGGGCAAGGAGCGGTAACCCAAACAAAAATGTTGACATTTCTCTGAATTAATTCCCTTAGTACACAGAATTAGAAGTGTTATATTTGCCAGTTGGCGTCAGCGGTTTATTAATAGCGACGGCGCTTCTTGATTCAAAGACACCTGAACTGATTCCAAATGCAGGCGATATGGCTGCAGACCGCCTTGCTTTGGTTTTAACAGTGTTATCGACAGACGTTTGTTTAGTCAGCAATGACAAACTGCCCATTCCCCCCCCCCCCACACACACACAACAAAAACTGTCGTTACGACATGTTAATTTCGACGTCCGAGGTGTGGTGTTGAGTTTGTGGTTTTAAGGCTGTACGACTCGTGCTGTCGCCACCGACTGTGCAGGTAAGGATTTTATTTTTACCCCCGAAGTTAGATTTTATTAGGGCCCTTTGGGGGACAGTAAAAAGTGCGAAAGCGCAGATAAATAATTACTGTCTGGGGAGAATGGCGCTGCAAGGAGTTACCAGGAGATCTGGCCGACGCTCAATCCTCAGGGAGAGGGTGAGACAATCAGACAGTTACTGGAACTATCGGAATTGGAACTCTTTGCTTGCTGCTGAAGATGAGGTGAGCACTGATGGGAGTGTCCCGAGTGCTGTGATGTAGATTCTCAATTCAACGTTCAACATCCCCCCCCCCCCCCCCCCCCCCCCCCCCCCCCCCGGCATGAAACAAATCTCCAACCTTATCGAGGATTCGAACCTGGGTCTCCCGCTTTAAAGCGCAGCATGCTAATCGTTTGGCTAACCGCTCCCCTCGTGGCAAACTAGTGAAGGTAAATTTATCTCGTAAAAATCACCAAAAGCTAAAAAATAAAATTCTTAGCTTGGATCTGCTAGATTTCGTAAACCAGTGTGTCTCAACCCGTTTACACCCGCGGCCCATCAGAACAGGGAAGCTTGTTTCGCGGCTCACAAAAACGGAGAGATTTGCTTCGCCGCCCGCACGCGTTTGATAATCTTATATACGTGGTTATGGCGTTGTTTCTGATAGATGAAGTGCTGCAATAATATCCATTCGATTTCCATGATTTTTTTTATTATGACCCGGCTTAGAAAGCCTTTTTACACAAACAGGAATCTCCAGGCTATGCCGGCGTTGTAGGTAACGAAAAGGCAGACAGAAATGCTGGTTCTGTACCACTGGGTGGTTAAATGATACATGATAAGGTAAATGTAGTCAAGGCCCTTTGGAAAAAGCAACGGAATCAGTAGAGATGTAGGATTATTATGGCCTGGAGATAATGAGGCACCTGGGTGTAACCAGAGGGTCTGGCTGGCTCACTACACTCAGAGGAAAGGCAAGACAGATATATAACCAGATTGTGACCGGTACCATCAGTACTGGAACTCTGTGCTAGCTGCTAAGATGCGGACGGAGCATGCATGGGAATGCCCCGAGTTCTGTGGTGTCAGTTCTTGACTCAACTCAACACCAATAGTAAGTCAGTAAAAAATGACAAAACAATTTCCTTGCTTTAGAACTAAAAGAAAGATATTGTTTTCTTGTTACATGATAAGGCGAAAATTTGTGCCGGCCCACTTGAACATTTCCACGGCCCGCAAGTGGGCCATGGTCCTGGGTTGAAGAACACTGCTCTAAGCTCTGCTCTTCCTGGGTTGAAGAACACTGCCCTAAGCTCTGCTCTGCCTACATCAACCAGAGATAATCTACATTCTTTTGGTCATGTGATGAGAAGAAGAAAACTGGAGTATATTGTGACAGTAGGAAAGTTGGTGGGGAGGAGAGGCAGAGGGAGACCGAGATAAAAGATGCTGGATCGTCTGTGTCAGAGTTGACTGAAAGTACATGAGACAGAAGGTTGTGGACAGACACGACTACCAACGCAACACGTCTTGGACTTAAAGAAAAAGAAACTCTATTCTAAAAAAGACACAACCAGCTTTTTATCAGTTCTCTACCATCTTGTTAACAGGACAAGTGAAATAAAAAAAGGCATTTAAAATTTTTTTTTTATTTAACTAAATAACCCTTTTTTCCCCCCACCACACATTCCACTTGGACTTGAAAGTGTGCCTCGCCCTTCAGGAACATCTGCGTATGTGGTTCTATGGTATGTTAAGTTAAGCCCGAACATGCTTAAAAAAACTGGTCTATGTTGGCTGCAGTGACGTGAGACGCACGCGAAAACCCCGCCCTTTTTTCCCCTCAGTTCTTTTCCTACTGCTATTTAATACCACATCATTACCATTTCACGGTAACGACGGTTTCTAATATAAAATATACAGGATCTTCCCATGCATAATACGACCCACTTTATTTTAGCCAATAATTAAAAACATATATTTTATGCACATTCCGAATTTGAAAGAATATTTCAAATGTAATAAATCTGGCGAAAAGATATAATCTTATGCAAGGACAAAATACAATATATTCTCCATGTTATGTTCTCATGGAGACTGCATACCATGGTAGATATACTACATTATCTCTACTGTCAATCGACATCACAGCACCTGGGGCACTTCCATAACCCCTCCGTCCCCATCTTCAGCAGCTAGCGAAGATTTCCAATTCTGACGGTAACAGCAACCGCCTGATTGTACATCCGGCTCGTCTTTCCCTTGAGTGTTAAGCGTCAGCCAGATCCCCTGGT